ATATGAGGTGAGTCAACCGTCTGGCGATCATCCGTCTGTACTGCTGTGTAGGACAGTTCCGCCTAGCCTACCTAGATTGACACAGTACGGGTGAGCAAAGTATCATATTCATAATTTAGTACCGTCCTGGATGCGGCTAAGCAAAACAAAACTATATATGGTGTGGTAGATCAGTGTAGATATTTCCAGACGTTTGGACCCTGCCAATTAACGGAGTAGGCCTAGAGGCCTATTCTAATTTCTACATCTCTAGTTATTATACACACTAGCCTATGACTCAAATAGTGTTTCATCAGGCTAACAAGTATAGTAGCCAAGATGTACAGACCTGCTGTACACAGGCCTACGCTATCTGCAAGTTAGTTTGAGGATGATGATTGATGTGATATACCACTCTACTGTACTTGGCCTACTGAAATGCTACTACTGTACTACTAACTACCATGTAGTGCTGTGTTGAAGGCTATAAAAATATAGAGTGATAATCATATTCATACCAAGTCCAGCTGTATGTCTTCGTTTAATATTGTATAATATTATTTGAACATAAAATCTTAACAGTTTGTTTATTTTTTTCCCCAGCTAAATGAAGGAAAGGAAGCACCACCACCTCCTATCAAGAGTGCTGATGTATCAATGTCATGCCAATTTCTGCAGTTCGGCACCCTTGTCAGTTTTTAAATTCACTGCAACTTTTGTACTAAGTATGGTATTATTAAGTATTTATTATAAATAAAAACTCAAGATAAGTGTCTAGCGTTCTCAAAATAATTTTATTGAACATACAAATGTTTTTGGGTATCACCCTTCATCAGGTATAGGTATATACATATTTTATTTTTTAAATTATGTCTATCTTTAGCATAGAATATTCATTGTAACATTTATAGATATGTTGTCGATGTCTTCCGTGTCAATTGCAGTAGTACTTCTCTTCTTGTACATCCTGGTACTGGTATTATTTTTAAAAAAACACCTTAAAATTTACTCTTAATATCACACCTTGATTAAAATTATTGTTTTAATCAATAACTGTATTTTATGAAATATTCTTAGTTTAATTCCTTTAAAAACAATAATTGAGATGTTTATGAAAATAAAAGTGTTACAATACAGTGTAGAGTGGTTGTTTTTTCTTCAATTATTGAATGCCGTGTTTTACATACTGCCATTTTCTTTGATAAAAAAATAGCAAATAGCAAATAATAAGGCCCCTCATCAAAAAAAAAAATGTCAAATTCCGGACGTGAAACTAATAATAAATTTTATTTTTCTTTATTACTGAGTGGAACCCATACGCCTATATGGATGACAGTATTACAAGAAAAATACTTAACTGTGCCTATAGGCTAGGCAATCTAGCTCAAAAAAGATCCAAAAGTCAAACAAATTGCAAACAAAGGTTTTTCTTTTTTAATCAAGTACATATGATGAGGGGATGAAATTCCACAAATCACACCTTGGTCACACCTCGGAAAATATACAAATTTGCTAAAATATGTAAATTTGGTTAAAAAATATAGGGGGTCTCATATCTTGGCAACTGCTGGTCGCAGGGAGTTGGTTTCTTTTTCAAATTATTCAGAACATGCATAATTCTATTTGCTCTAATGGAACATTTGCCCAAAAAGTTTGCGAGAATAATTGGTATACTTGTACTGTATTTTCTGAAGCACCGTTCGTTTTGGGGTTGCTACAATCAGCAGTTGTTACATCAGTGGCGTCACGCTTGGGCGCTAACGGAGGGGGGGAGCGCCAGGGCCCCAGGCGCAAGGGGCCCGACATTGTAATTAAAAAAAAATGTAATATAAACTATAATACCATAGTTTCTTTCAATGGGGCCCCGACAGTTTTAAACAATAAAAGCTGGATTCTGATTTGAGATCATGCTTCTGATTTTGTGATCAATCTGCTTTGTATTGTATATAGCCCTACGTTATTAAAACATGTTTAGTTCTCACTAAAATTGGTCTCATCTGTATTTATTTATTTACACCTAGAGTACATAGTTGTACTGTAGGCCTGTACCATTCTATGTTCTCTAACAACGCAGTTAACTTTCCAATCTCCAGCAAATTTTAAATAGCATCCAAAATCCTCCTTTTTGGAATGTAAGGAAATAGATAGTGCTTTTCCTTTGTTGGATCGATTGTAACTCCTGATTGTAGCAACCACAAAACGAATGGCACTTCAGAAATACAGTACAGTGTACCAATATTCTCTCAAACTTTATATCCTATCACGTTGCTTGTGTTTTAAGTTAATTTTATTGATTAATTTTTTATTTTATTTTTTTTTTTGAAGCGTACAGGCTTGGAATATTTGAAAATCCTTAAGTTAAATTATTTAAAGTTTTCTTTTTATTTTCAATGAAAAATAAATGCGATCATTAATATCGATCTTGGTACAATGTAAACCTGTAATCATATGACTACTTATACAGCATTTTACTATATTATAGGCCTAGACTAGGACGCCTCCTACTATAGTATAGAGGCCTAGTCCAAGACCTTGTTGCAAATCCCAGAAAAAAAGGCTAGCCTATAATGCCTAGCATAGGGCTCGTGATCGCGGTACCCTGACCATTAAAAATTAGCAGACGCATTGGGAAGCATTGTTCACGGCATTGGACTGCAGCAAAAAAAGATTCCCCCATCATTAATGGAACAGGCCCATGTCAAGCTTGGCTGATTAGTTTTGATTTACATTTCGCAGGTCTAGTTTCATACGCAGCAAAAGTCATGTCTAGTGTTGTTGTACTGTAAAATGCATTTCAAACCAGGCTGGTTTTTTATTTACGTTTTGGAATAGAATTTGGAGAGTGCGTTTGATCAAGTCAGAACTACGTTTTGAATTTGAATTACATTTTAAAGAAATTAGAACTACATTTTGTAAAATTTGAACTACGTTTTGGAAAATTAGAACTTCATTTTGGGAAACTAGATCTACATTTTGAGAAATTTACGCCTACGTTTTGATAAATTAGACGTTGAATTTTGCAATTACATTTTGATTTTAACATGGACTTTTGCTGCGTATGGCACCCCATAAATGGGGGCCTTTTGGAGCATATAAGAATATCTGACTTGCACCTGAGGTGCAAGTCTTTTTTATTCTCCACCCTTCCAAGTGCTAATGCATTCCCTCATCTTTACAAAATAGTAATGTTTGTCACAAAGCGGATTCAAGAAGGACACATGGTTTCTTCTATAAGTACCTTTAATTCTTTGATTTGATGGTACATTAAATAAATTACCAAATAATTGGGAAAAAAACCACCCAAAAAATATTACACAATAAAGAAAATAAAACAAAACTCTTACTACACCGTTCGTTCTTATTGGCCACAAGACACGTCCACGATCTAGTGTCGCCAATACACCGTTATTTTTCCCATGGCACGCACATTTCGCAATTAACTATTAACGGACACAATACTGAGTCGCTGCCTTGGTCGTTGGTCCCATGCTAATTATTTCCTGCAACAGAACAGTTCAGGGTACTTTTCACACATTCAGTTCCACACATGATACTGCATACATCATTTTTATTATTGGTGTTTCACATAGGATTCTGCACTCATTTTGTTTGATCCACAAAGGATACTGCATTTATTTCGGATCCACGCAGGGTAGACATAAATTTAATCCACACAGGATAACATTAATAGCTGGACATGCACATTGGTAGCATGAATAATATAATATTCACTGTATAATAATGTATAATACATACAAACTCTGATCCACACAGGATGCTTTACTCTGCCAGGCCCACACTTTATTACTGTAGTGCTGCTACAATCTCCATTTAGTCCACACAGGACATACAAACAGTCAGCTAACATTTCTGACCTTCTCTCAGTGCAGTTCCACCATCACTAACCCCTTTTTTCTATCCCATCATCCTACCACATCACATTGCATAATCTTTCTACCAGCTTCTCACTTCATAACATTGCATAACCCTATTCTTCACCCCATACCACACCACTTTCAGTCTCCACACAATCAATACAATACCTTAACAAACTTCATAACGTTACATAACCGCCTACTATACTGTTCACGTCATACAGCAACGTTGATTGAGTCTAATACCAGGTTGTTATAATCTAAAACCACGTGAACTGAGTGAGATGAACAACTACCGATGGTGCTCAAAATTATTGCTTTCCTCCTTAGCTTCGTGTGGCAAACCATGGAAGAACTTTTCTGGTCGAATTTTCTACACGAAGCTGAGTAGACATAGTTTCATACACGAACGCTAATTGGTTGGCTCGCCCAGTGCATAGCACATGGTAGCTGTTTCACGTACACGAACGCTTATTGGTTGGCTCGCCCAGTGCAGCGCATATGGGTTTAGTTTGTCTCAACAGGCCCAGAAAACACCACATCTCTGTTGTTTAGAATAGGCATGAAGGGGAATTCCCAAGTTATACCTTTGTCGTATAGGTAATCTTACAATATTTTCATGTTCTTTA